TGAAGATAATAGGGTGAGGGAGATAATAAGGAATAAAGATAACATGAATAAAAAAATGAGTGAATAAATAAATAAAGAAAGAAATGAAGAAATGAAGAAATGAAGCAAACGAAAGTATATTATAAAGAAAACAGAAAATATTGCTAGAAAAAATAAATAAAAGGAGAGATAGAAGGAAGGAACAGAGAAGTGAAAAAGTAAATAAAAAAACAGAGAAAAAGAGAGATAAAACGATGAAAAGATAAAGGAAGAGAGAAAAAGATATACACGAAGAATAAAATGAAGAAGAAGAGATACAGAAAAAATAAAAAAACAGTTAATAATTTCTAGACCCTTAAGCGAAGAAAAATTTATTTAAAAAAGAAGATAAAGAGAGAGAAGGCGAAGAGAATAAAGGAAAGACACAGAGAAAGTGAAAAAATGACAACAATCAGAAGATAACAAAAAAGCAAGAAAGTAGAAATAACGAAAATAAAGAACAACGAAGAAGCAAAATAACATAAACGAATAAACGACAAAAAAATAACAAAGAAAAGAGACAAACAAAATTAAACAGAAGACTGACAATAAAACAAAAGAACAAAATCAAAACAATAAAAGACTAGATAAAAAAGCGAAACAAAATTATGCAAAATACATTACGAAAGACAAAGGACTGATTTCGGAATTTCCTTCCCAGTCCTTCTAATTCTTCTAAGCGAAGGGAATGGGAGGAGAGTGATAAAAGTGGGAGGGAGGGAGGGAAGAATAGTGATGGTGAGGGTGATATATAGTGATGGTGGTGATCGTGATGGAAGGAGGGAGGGAGGAATAGTGATGGTGATATATGGTGATGGTGAATGGTGAATGGCGATGTTGATGTATGGTGATGGTGGTGATGGTGGTTATTCTGATGCTGATGTTGATGCTGATGGTGGTGATAGTGATGCTGGTGATGTTGATGATGGTGATTCTGATGATGCTAATGCTGACTAGCAAAACACAAAACCCCCAAAACAACACCACCACCAAAAAAAAAAAAAAAAAAAAAAAAAAAAAAAAAAAAAAAAAAAAAAAAAAAACACCCAAACCCAAAAAAATCAAGCAACAAGCAATCAACAAGCATCCCCTCCCCCTCCCCCCGATGCCCCTCCCCCCACCCCCCACCCCCCTTTGACCTTAGACCCTCACCGTGGCGGACCGGGGTTGGCGGCGGCGGCGGCGGACAGACTCAGCTCGTGACCCTCTTGTACGTCGACGCGGGGGGGGGGACGCACCACCCAGCGGGGGCGATCTGCGGGGGAGGGGGGGGGAATGGGGAAGAGAAGAGAGGGGGGAATGGGGAAGGGGAAAGGGAGGGGGAAGGGGGAAGGGGAAGGGAAAGGGAGGGGAGGGGAAGAGAAGGGGAGGGAAAGGGTGGAAAGGGGAAGGGAGGCGAGAGGGGGGGGAATGGGAGGGAGGGGAGAGGGGAATGGGAAAGGGAGGGGAGGGATGGAGGGCAGAGGAGTGGGGATGTGAGGGGGTATAGGGGGAGGGAAGGAAAAAGAGGGGAGGAAGGGAAGGAAGGGAAAAGGAGAGGAGGAAGGGAGGGAAGGGAAGGGAAGGGAAGGGAAAAGGAGAGGAGGGAGGGAAGGGAGGGGAAGGGTGGGAAGAGAAGGGAAAAGGAGAGGAGGAAGGGGAGGGAGGGGAAGGGAGGGAAGGGAAGGGAAAAGGAGAGAAGGGGAAGGAGGGGAAGGAAAAGGAGGGAAGAGAAGGGAAGGGAAGGGAAGGGAAGGAAAAGGAGAGGAGGAGGTAAGGGGAGTGGGGGGGGTATGGAATAGGCGAAGGGGAGATGAGGGCGTAGGTTCGAGTAGGGCAACAGGTGGGGGGGGCGGAGAGGAAGAAGGGAAAGAATGAAGGAGTGAGGGAAGGAGGGACAGAATGAGGGAGGAAGGGATGAGAGATAAATAGATAATTATAAGGCTATGATGGAAGTAAAGGAAAATCACAATAATAAGAATAAAAAAGATAATCATTTCATTATTTCACAGAGACAAAAACAAAAAAAATAAAGAAAGAGAGAGAGAAAAAAAGAGAGAGAACAAGAGGGAGATAAATAAATATAAATAAAAAGAGGAAGGAATTAATTAAAATAAAACGGGAAAGAGAAAACAAAGACAAACCATAAAGGAAGAAGTAAGAAATAAGGAGAAAGAAAAATAAAAAGAAAAAAGAGGAAAATGGAGAGACGATTAGCAAAGAAAGAGAACAAAATAACAAAATAAAAGAGGGAGAGAGAGAAAAAAGTAAAGTAAAATGAAAAACCGAAACGAAAATAAATATATAACAATAACAAAATAAGAATAATCAAAAATACAAATAAAATACAAAAAAAAAAGAAATACGAATAATTTCTTACGTAGGACATCTAGCGTAACGAAAGTGGACACCGGATCGCTGACGCCGTTGTCAGCCTCGCACCTGACGGCTCTTCCGTTGTCAGCCGCCTTCACTCGCAGCCGGAGGTCTGACCTGAGATACGAACGAGGGGGGGAGGTTCAGGAGGGATTGTCTGTCTGTCTGTCTCTTTTTCTTTATCTCTCTCTCTTTCTTTTTTTTCTTTCTCTTTCTTTCTCTCTCTCTCTCTTTCTTTCAATCTCTCTCTTTTTTTTCTCTCTCTCTTTCTTTCAATCTCTCTCTGTCTCTCTCTTTCTTTCTCTTCCCCTCTCTCTCTCCCTCCCTCTTTCACTCTCTCTCTCTCTCTCTCTCTCTCTCTCTCTCTCTCTCTCTCTCTCTCTCTCTCTCTCTCTCTCTCTACTTTTTTGAAAAACAATTACATCATATTTGGTTATAGTTATTAGACATGTTACAGTCAAAACATTTTTTTACAGACTAAAGGAATTCATTTTTAGTGACTCCTATCTTAAAGTCAAACCTCATCTCATTGCGCAATCTACTCATGTACTATGACACATAACATACAAATCATATAATTATCTATTAGTGGTTTTTAGCCACACATGTGCTTTTCATTTGAAAGATTGTAAGGACTAATCTTCCACAGAAATGAACAGATTCCATAATTTGGAATATCTGGAGAGAGACTGTCGCTGTTGGTGCGGCGTGCAACAGAGTGGTTCCTCGAGGGCGGCAGGCGCTCGTTCCCCTGGTCTCGAGGGGCGTGCAGTTCGTCCTCGTGGCAGTGTCATTGGCTGCAGGTGCGGGGCGTGTTGGCGATGGATAAGGAACATCGTCGTCAAGTCAGCTGCGTCTCTCCAGTGTTGAAGGCTGTCGAAGTTCGGTTGATACTGTAGGGTCCTGTCTTCGATGATTTTCTTCGCTCTTTCTTGTACTCTATCCAAGATTTGGAGGCTAGTGATGTTTGCTCCTCCCCACGCAAGGCAGGAGTGAAGAGCGAACTTGTGCCTTGTAGAGGAGCTCCTTCCCTTCACCTTCCAGCTGATACTTCTTATAGTTTCTGCAAAGCCCTTCTCGCCAGGCTTTCTAGGTGACATTTGAAAGTCATTTTTTTGTCGAATGTGATGCCCAGTATTTCAACTTCACTTTGGTCTTATTTTCATCTCAATGAAGTTTACCTGGACATCAGTATTCGTCCTCTCGACAACCATAAGCTGGGTTTTATTCGGGGCAAAGGAGACCTGCCATTTCTTTCCCCAAGTCGAGATATATGCGAGTCCCTCATTTAGTTTTTTTTCTATAGCGGCATCCTGTTCCCTGGGCTCATACCTAACGGAGAGTGATCCATCATGGAGCAAGTCACCTTCCACGGCAGAGGGCCAATATGCTTCCTTGAGGGACCCGTGTTTTGATATCGTAGTAAGCAGTGTGTTCTCCATTGAGAACTACTCTCATTTGTCTGTCGAGTAGATAATTTTTCAAAAGGACCAGGAGTTCACCGTCCACTCCAAATGCTTATAACTTGCTAAACAAACTTAGGTGGCCTATCCTATCAAAGGCTCCCTCTATGTCTAGGGCAAGAACACAAGGGCGTTTCTATAACAGCAGGTCTCTCTCTCTCTCTCTCTTTCTCTCTCTCTCTCTCTCCTCTCTCTCTCTCTCCTCTCTCTCTCTCTCTCTCTCTCTCTCTCTCTCTCTCTCTCTCTCTCTCTCTCTCTCTCTCTCTCTCTCTCCTCTCTCTCTCTCTTTATCTCTTTTTTCTTTCTCCCCCCCCTCTCTCTCTCTCTCTCTCTCTTTTTCTTTCTCCCCCCCCCCCTCTCTCTCTCTCTCTCTCTCTCTCTCTCTCTCTCTCTCTCTCTCTTTCTCTCTCTCCTCTCTCTCTCTCTTTATCTCTTTTTCTTTCTCCCCCCTCTCTCTCTCTCTCTCTCTCTCTCTCTCTCTCTCTCTCTCTCCCTGTCTCTCTCTCTCTCCCTCCCTCACTCCCTCTCCCCCCCTCACCCTCCCCCCCTCCCCCCACCCTCAACCCCAAACCCACCTGGTCGTCGTTCCCCCGAAAACCCCCTGAGTCGTGATGGTGACTGCCCCTTCAAGAGCCACGCCCCCGGAGGACCAGCTGACGACGGAGGGCGGGGAGCTCGAGGACGTCGTGCAGGAGAGGCGGATCTCGGAGCCCTCGGGGACGGAAGGGGGCGTGGCTGTGGCTGAGACCTCCCACGGGGCGACTGCGGGAGAGAGGGAAGAGAGCGAAGGGGGAGGTTAGGGGTTTGAGAAAGAGAGGGAGAGAGGGGGAGGGTAAGAGGGAGGGAGGGAGGGAGGGAGGGAGGGAAGGAAGGAGAGAGGGAGGGAGGGAAGGAGGGGGGAAGGAGAGAGAGAGAGAGAGAGGGAGGGAGGGAGGGAAGGAGGGAGTTAGGCAGGGAGGATGAGAGATAGATAGATAGATAGATAGAGAGAGAGAGAGAGAGAGAGAGAGAGAGAGAGAGAGAGAGAGAGAGAGAGAGAGAGAGAAAGGAAGAGAGGATATATACATATAAATATACATGTTTATACATATATACATATATTTATACATATACACACACACACACACACACATATAAATATATATATATATATATATATATATA